GTACAGCTACCTACAGACGTGTACCTGTCTGAGCTCATTCTCTCTCTGACGTGACATGTTATTAGGCTTGGTTAAATTAGGCTCAGTTGTTTAAAGCAGTGCCTAGGAACGTCGAGTCGTACAGCTACCTACAGACGTGTACCTGTCTGAGCTCATTCTCTCTTTGACGTTGCATGTTATTAGGCTCGGTTGAATTAGGCTCATTTGTTTGCTTCTTGATGGAGTCGCATTCCCAATTTTCTCTATTTTGGTATATTTTAGTTCTAGAAACGGAGAAGGGATATTTCTAAAGGTAACCTTGATACTCGGGCCAGAGGGCCTTGGGCGTGTTGCGCTCGTCCAGCCTTTCCTATGTAAAGACGCATCACCGCAACGATAAATCAGTCTTCGATTCCCCGTTTGTTGAATCACGGCCAGTCTAGACAGCTGTGCGCAAGAGTCGGAAACCAGGGCAAGTTCGTGTAGGTTTGCTGGATCAAGGTTGGTTTGACAAGTTGTAAGACTCGCTTCCTCCCAGATACCATTTCGAACAATAAAAGCCAATTTCACCACTTGATTACGATACGAATCCAACCGCTTGAAAGAGAAGGAAAAAAAAAACAACCGAACATTCATGTGGCCGACCTTCGCTCCCAATTCCGGAGCCGGCTGGGCCACCACCAGCTGGAACCCCGGCATTACAAGACTGGTCTGGCCCACCCCGACGCCCCCGCCGCCCGGCGTCACACATGTATTTTACTGGTGGTGCCCGAGCCGCCAGTGCCGGGGAAAGTACCGGCTTGAGCTCCGCGTTACCAACCGGTGCCTGCGCTGCGGCACCTATTTCCGCTCGGCCACCTGCCCCACCCTCTGCTTCGCCCACTGCAGTAGCCCCGGGGGGTGGCTGCATCGCACGACGTTCTGGTGGAACTTACGCTTGGTCACTAGGGCGCAGTATCTCGAGTTGAGAGCGGCACGACAGCGAGAGCGAGAGCGAGAGGAGGACGCTGCGGCGGCGGAGCCCCTATGGTGCATGCTCGAAGAATCGGTCAGCGACGATGTGGTGGAGGAGGAGGACGAGAAGGAGGACGATGAGGACGATGAGGACGATGAGGACGATGAGGACGATGAGGACGATGAGGACGATGAGGACGATGAGGACGATGAGGACGATGAGGACGATGAGGACGATGAGGACGAGGACGACGAGGAAGAGGAGGAGGAGTAGGGAGAGCCGGTCGGCGATGAGGCGGTGCCTACAACCTAGTACAAGTACACACGCTGGGCCCGCGCGGGGGGGTTCTTTATTTCTCGCAATCTGGCCATCTTTTTCGGCTTTGGACTTGAAGGTGCTGGTAGTCCTGCAAAGAGATCTTCTTTGTCAATCTTGGGTGAAGAATGGGGTTAGTACATGGTAGATGGACATTATAGGTCCAAGAGCACATCAAAGGTATACAAACCAACACGAGTATTATGATGGAATTTATATAGATAGATAGAAAATAGATAAACCGAATATCTGCCTTGCTAGTAAGCAGGGCATGAGGAGGTCGAGTTGCATAGCTGCCTATAGATATGTACCTGTCTAACGTTTGATGTTGCTGAGCTTGGTTGATTGGCTATTAAGGAAGCCGAGTTTTCCAAGTTTTGCTATTTTGGTGTAATAGTTTTGAACAACAGATGATGAATATTAGCAAAATGGTAGCCTTGGTACTCGATCTAGGCCTTGCGCGTGTTGTGCTTGTCCAGACCTTGTCAGTGGCCTCTTGTGTAAGCCGCATCGCCACAAAAACAAAGCAGAGTTGTTGTTTTTTTCGTCTATTGAATCACGACCAGTCTCGACAAAGACACGAATACAAAGGCGAATACATTTGCTGAATCACGACCAGTCTCGCCAGTTCTTAAAGACTCGATTCCTCTTCCCAAATACCATGTCAAGAACGGAAAAAAAGCCAGTTTCTCACTAGTCCATCACGGTACAAACCAAACCGTTCCAAAAGAGACAAAAGAACAAAGCGCAAAACCCCAACCACGTTCACGATGCCGACCTTTACTCGGGGGCGCCGCGAGACTAGGAACAACCACCCGGGGCCCGCGCCGCCCGCGCCGCCCGGCTTCGAACAGGTCTTGTGCTGGCTTTGCCCAAGCCACCTCTGCAACTGGGAGCAATGGCACGACGTCCGCGCCACCAACCGGTGCCTGAAATGCGGCACTTGCTTCAGCGCCGCCACCTGCCGCACCGTCTGGGTCCAGCGCCGCATCGGCCACAGCGGGAGGGCCGTGTGAAAGATCTGCTTTGGCGACGACGGCTACCAGTTCAATAGCATTACGCCGCAGCAGCGAGGGTAGGTGTGGGTGATGCGGCAGCGCGCCTGCGACCTAATTACTGCACACGCCAGGGCAAGGGTTCCCTTTGTTTCTCATCGTATTTTTCAGGGTTGGACTTGAAGGGTGCTGCTGATTCAATCTTGGGGAGAATGGGGGTTAGTACACGGTAGACCTTACATCATGGGTCCAAGAGCACAGCACGGGTATACGAACCAACACGATTACCACGATAGAATTCATACATACAAATACAAAAACAGAAGAGCCGAATGTCTGCCTCACCAGTAAGCCTTGTCTTCTCAGCAACATGTGAAACCAGGACGGGCGTAAATCAGTGTGGTTTTTCCTTTGTGGGATCTCTTTCTTGTTTTCGGTTCTCATTAGGCATCCTGAACTGGTGCAACCAGCGCCCGTACTCTTTTCCATCTTCTTTTTTTGATGTTTCGTATTTGCTTCTTTGCAGAAACCAAGAACAAATAAAGACTCCCCTCAGAGAGAAAAAAAAAGACACAGAGGTCGACCAAAAAATATAAAAAAAGAATAATCAAACACATCCCAGCAATTCCCGTTTCCACAACGGCCCAAAACCATAAAACAAGATAGCAGGATTGAACAAAAAAAAGTTGACACAAAGCAGGGAGGGTATAACAAGGCCGTGGCGTGTAGACGCTCATGCCTCGAGGACCTTGTTCTTCTTCTTTTGCTCAACCTTCAGCAATAGTGCGCGGTTGATGTGCGGCAGGACACCACCGTAGGCGATCGTGGCGCGGATCAGGGTGTCGAGCTCTTCGTCACCACGGATAGCGAGCTGCAGATGTCTGGGCGTAATGCGCTTGACCTTGAGGTCCTTGGCGGCGTTCTGCGACGAGTGATTAGCGTGAATTGAATTGCACGGGGGGTACGAGACGTACGCCAGCCAGCTCGAGAACTTCGGCGGTGAGATATTCAAGAACAGCGGTAACGTAGACAGCTGCCTTGGCTCCGACGCGCATCTTGCTCTGGGTGTTTTGCTTCAGGAATCGTTTGACACGACCACAGGGGAACTATACATTTCGATAATTAGCATCATCGCCTGGCAAACTGAGCGGAACATTTGCGCAAAGCTTCGCCAAACGCTCGCGACAGGATCGCATGAGCCCCACACACCAACAGACTCCTGCCGGTGCCTGGTTTGCTGCCATCAACAGCAGGCGCAGCAAACGTCGCGCATCAAATCCACCACCAGACAAAGCTCCAGTCGCATGCTGTAAACAGACAAGGATACAGTTTCCCGTGTAGGGAAGCTCGGGAACGCGTCTCGAATCGGTGAGCTGGCAGCGGTCGGCAATGTGGCGGGCCTCCCGAGGGGTTGGCACGAGGGGTGGCGTGCGCGACGGTGGTACCGGGTGCGCGGAGGAGGGGAAAATTGTGTAGATTTGTCGCATTCTCACGAGACAATCCTGCTTTCCCGATGCTTACCTGGAGGCCTGCGCGAGCAGAGTGGCTCTGCTGCTTCTTCTGACCCTCGACGCCGCTGGTCTTACCACCAGAGCTCTTTCCGCCAGAAGACTTTCCTTTGCCGCCGGGCATTTTGACGTTGATATCGAGACGAGAAAAAATTCTAGTAAAATCGAGAAATCGGGGGAGGATGCCACAAGAAAATGCGCAACCGAGTCGAATAAAAAGCTGAATACCAACGGGTTGATGATGCGTTGGAGGGGGGGGTCTGTTGATGAAGGAGTAGCGTTGGTGCAGGGCGTGGTGGCGGGCGGTGTTTACGGCAGAAATTTAGCTCGGTGCAGCTGGCCAAGCTGATTCGAATGTTGTTGTTTGGGGCGCCGCAGAGGAGGGGAGGCGGCGCTGCTGCAAGGCCCAAGGCTGGTGTTTGGAGGACGGTGGCGTCAACCAATCATGGTCCGTCACTATTATCCAGTAATGCGCCACGCTCGCAAGATGTGGCTAGTGTCTCCGCCACCTGTTTCCGGAAGCCGAAGATTCGCCGCTCTGGGCCATCTAGCCAGGCAAATGCCTGGCGAGCAGGCACAAGGCAGCAGTGGCCGTGTGCAAGCGATGGTACTTTGTTTTGCTCGAGGGTGCGACAATATGGTCGTTAGATGTCGGTCATCTCATACTTTTTTGGCAGGTCGATGTTGGAGGCTGAAATGGCGCAAGCTGTGTTGGCTCGATAGCCGCTGCTTGAGACTTGCTTGCTTGGGGTGGAAGCCCAGCATGGGCAACACACAGTTGGTATGCATCAGCCAACCATATTGAATCGTAAACTCAGCGAGGGATCATTTTCGGCCGAAGTTTCATAGATTTCGATGTCGTCACTGCTGCTTTGCCGTGTATTCGGTGATAACGCAGGACCATATACTGACTGGACTTGAATGGTGCTGCTGAAGCAGCACAATCGAGGCTGCCCACGAGGTACAGCCTGTCTGCCCCGCCGAACGGTCGCAAGCAGTGGTGGCTGTGTCGCTGTCACTGTGTGGCTGGAGAGTCTGTCCCGCCACAAGTCATTGTTGGCCTCAACTAGCGAGAGGCTCGCGAATGTAAACACTCATGCTCCCCACTCGTGCAACAACGCGAAAGTCTGCAACTGGCATTTGGCTGGCGCGTTAGCGCGATATGTGCTCTGTTGACCTGCAGCTTCGGTTGCTTTTGGTTTTGAATGGCCCGATAGCCGAATTGCTGATAGCCAACCTGCGGACCTACCTGGCCTTGCGACACGACACGCTCCGAGGTTACGTTACGGGATGATGGCAGCATCTAAGTATCCAAGACGTTGCTCTACCGAGTTCTACGACATGATGCTTATTATAGCACGAAATGATGCCCCAAAGCACGTCACCGATTGACATGGAGTTGCACAGGCTGTATGCGACAAGCACTGCGAGACGATGCTCTGGTGTTTACCTTGGAGGTGTATGTATGGCAAGAATCTGGTCTCATGGGCAGATTGCGACTGCCTCGATGCGCACACACATGCCGGAGGGGAAAAACACATGTGGTGGCAAGCCGACCTGTTACTCGGACCCTTTTTCTAAACGGGCCTCGACTTCGCCAAGTCTGCATTCTTGTCCTGTGAAATATGGATCAAGTCGCGTCCTATATACCACTGCAGACCAAGCAAGGCTTCTTTGCAGTTTTCACAGCATTCGAATCAACACTGATTTTTAACACTTCATGCTCAAGCAGACCAGTGGCACACACGATGTCCGCTCTATCCAATGGGAATACACGTTACGATGTCTCGAGATGGATCTCCGAAGAGGCAACAATATCGTGCCTGCTTGTTTACTTGCTTGCCCCTGCTACCACGTTGGTGAGCCTAGACTGTGCTGCGAGCCGTGCAGCTGCAGGTCGAGTGGGGGATGGCCGTGCAGTAGAGTGCGGATAGCTGCATGTGGTCGGGCTGCATGCAGAGCATCCTATTGACACGAGATCCAGGTAGGGCTCGCGCGAGAGCTTCATTCATGTTACCCAAAGCGACCAGCAAAATATCATGGGTAGACACTACTTCAGCCAAGATCGAGTACGAGCCTGCGCACTGGGTGAGGTCAAGGACAAAAAGACAGAATTAGGAGGTCTTGGGCAAATGGGGTCCATGACAGCTGGCGGACCTGCTGTGACCAGTTTGTGCGGTGAATATCGAATCTGGACCTGTGCACGAGGTCGCGCCGGCACGTCAATGTACATGACGTCAAAGGGCGCAACATGGAAAAGAATGGAGCTCTCTTTGTGCTGAACCAGCGTGTTTGCGCCGTTGCGCTGCAAGTATTATTAGATGGTCGTGTATTCCGTACTCCGTAGATTATCGCTCCTCTGTGGAGGCTTCAAGTGACGCTCACGTACCAGTAAGGCCGGCTTCCGAGGAGCCAGTTTTCCAAGCAGGCGAAACCCGATCTAATTTGGTGGCAGCCGCGGTGGCTTGAGGCAGCTGGGGTTTTTAACGAATTGTGGCGGCATAAGGGGGTGGCACTGTGGCAACTTGACAGGCTCCCTCGTTAACCCAGGTTCTCAAAAGTTGATAACGATCTTGCTCGCATCCCAGCAGGGTACTTGGGGGCCCTTGTGCTAATATGTACATAGTGTAACCCTTCAGCGCTCGTGACATGGGATGGCGGGCCGCACGATTGCACAATGCACGTCGATGTGAAGACCTGATAAGAAGCAGAATCAACGCGGTCACTTGTTATGCCAAGACAAAAATCCGGAACAGTTTGGTGCAACCATGGTCGCTAAGACAGACACTCTCCTTTCCGATTCGTCTGGCGGCAATTCTTACTCGTACGAAAGTAATACATTTACCCGTGGCTAACTCCAAGTATTTACTGGATGAATGCATGGCGGACCCGTCTTGTCCACGCACATGGTCCGGGCCGCATGCGGGTGGACGCGTTGGATGTGGTTATGCAGAAACAGGGATAAGCTAATAATCATCGAGGTTCAAATGAGGGGCGATGAACAATGGGATGCTAACTAGTTGGCCACCGCTTTCACAGCCGGAGATAATTTACCAAAGGCTGGACGCTGGAGCCGTAGCACTAGTTAACTGATCTGAAATAACAAGAAATACGGATATGGTGGGAAGTATTGTTTTGCCTACCAAAAGGGCGGTGTGACCGAAAGGGGAGGGGGGGGTAATGGATGATTCAACAATCTACATATCCCAGGATAATTATCACCTAAATTGAAGCCTTGCGCTTCCAACAGACAGTGGACAAAGATCTGGAAGGTGATCTTCTGTCTTGCTTACCCGTGTAACCTAAGCCAGGGATGGTAGACTGTTCGTTAATGAGAGGTAGTATTAAGCGTAATTAGGAATAATGCTGCCTTCGATTTGCTGATCCTGTAATTTGTAGCTTATGGTTCATTCTCCATCTCTGTCGTAGCCCTTGGTAAAATTTGGACGACTATCATTGAAGACAACGTAGATGCGCTCTAAAGCGGTCATTTCTCCTGTAAATTTGACCCAGTGGATGCCGTCGATATTGACGTAGCGGGAGCCTCGAGATTCGTCTCCAAAGTAGGGGTAGTCCTGGTAGTTGATTGTGAGTTTCCTCAAGGAACTCCCGTGAAAGTCCCTAATGGCTGCCAATGTCTCTGCTGTAGGGGGAATATGACACTCTGGTGGACCTTCCAAGCTCTGGAATCGAGTTGTCACGTCGTCTGCTTCCCAGCGAAATTCGGTCAGTGCATTCATTCGGGCAAAGCACCGCCGACCAATAGGCCATTCTACTGGATCCATGTCGTCGGGATTATAAGGCCACCTGATGTTTAAGAAATGCAGACAGGAGAGCGATGGTAACTGCTGCGCGGACAATGCTTCCGCCATTTGATGAGGAAGAAGCACAATGGTGCTGGTAAGTGTCAGTCTGCTCAACGCTGGAAACGCCGGTTTATCCCGCGGTATCGTAAACGGAATATCCTGGAAACGGTCTCTTGGGATATCTTTGACGTAATCGGGGTTTGTTGAGCGTTTGTAGCAGTCAGCAACGGTAGCCCACTGGCCAAAGGGCGGTGCTGCTGGGTACCATTCAAAATCGAACAAGCTCAAATCACAGTACCAGAGGAGTTCTTCAAGCTCTTGGAAACGATGCAAAGCCCGTATAAGTGACGGCAAAGGCGCACCAAAGTCCAAGCCAGTTTCATCAGTGATGAAATTCATTTCTAGCCGCCGCAAGCCCGCTGGAAGCTGGGAGAGAATGGCCGCAACGTCGGTCAGAGCCGCGCGACTCTCCAAGTCCCTGTTATTTCCGCCGTAGATGCCGTCGTACTCTTCAGTCGAAAAACAAAAGTCGAGATTTTTCAGCCGAGACAAGAAGCCATTTCGGCGAAAGTCAGCGACAAGCAGCTGGAGGCCTGTAGTTTCGTGAATTACAAAGTTGGCCCGTTGTAGCATCTGGTCAAAAGTGCATTCCCTGAGTCTTCTGCAGCTATGCAGCAAGCACCAAAAATCCTTATAGTATCCATATCTACGACATCGGAAGTCCGTATAAAGGATACCGCAACGATAACGAAGTGGCAGGCGCGTGTCATTCAGCTCAAGTGCAAGGACAATTATGTCGCCAAGAATTTCGTTGGACAGGTTAAGCAGGGACTTCATATTCAAAGGGGCTTGAACGGTATGAGACGAAGCTGTTTCCAAGCGGACGAAGTTGATGGAAAAGAAGTTGATGGAAAAGAAGTTGATGGAAAAGCAAAAATGTTAGTTAGTGGTTTTTGCTGCCTAGCCAAGTACCTACGTACTTCTCCAGCTGCGCCCCCACTTTTTCGGGTCGTCCTGCCCTGGAAAAGCAGCAGCACCAACATTCATGAACTGATAAAGCACTGTACAGCGACATCATTGATGGCTCAGCATTTATAAGTGGCATGCCCACATGGAATCATTATTACTGGAATCCCTCAGAAGAAATGCCCCTGGCTTCAATGCAAGAAAAACAGGGGAAAGAAAAAGAACGTCAATTTTGATGTTCTGTCGTGGGTCTCAATAACTACCTAGGTAGGCTTGTGGCTGCGTTGGCTGCCAGCCTGGTTCTCGTCGTCGTTCTGGAAATGGTTTTCGGCATCGTCTTGCTGAGTTGCGCCCTGCTCGACGTAGCACTGAAATCTTTCGCGCTTGGCACCAGTTTCTCCGAATCTTCGCTAGCGCTTCCTCGCGTGTCATGGTTGGCATAAGAGCCGGGCCAGTGAGGTCAACAAAGCTGGCGCTGCTGCTGCCAGACGGTGTTCGGAGCTTTTCGTTGAATGACGAGTTGTGCTGAGAGGCCGCGTCTCGAACTGGGACAGTTGTTGTCGTGACCTTCGATCGCGTTGTTGACGCATACCAAGTAGGTGCTAGGAGAGAAGTACGTTGACAATAGTTATGTACAGAGCTGCAACCTTGATGCCAGTCATCTTCGTCTTGTTGCTCATATCAAGTTTGACCCACAGCTGGCCACGTCCGGGTGAGACATCACTGAAGCGTGCACCATTATTGGCTAATAACTAGGTAATGGGATGAATAACGGTGGAAAAGGAGCTTGGGAGTTGACAAGAGAGGTTAGACCGGTGTGTGAGACTTGCTGAATACAAGGAAGAAGCAATGTATTTCTGATTATTTGTCCTTGCCAATAATTAATGGGAATAACAAAAAGTCAACGAAAGGTACCTAGGAGTTAGATCGGCTGGTTGGCCATCGATAGACCCTGATGCGGGTTTCCGCGCGGTGTTTTGTTTCAAAGTCGGCAACAGAGAACCATGTACATATGTAGTTTCTGTTGGCAACCACGCTATTAAGAGAATTCGTGTAGTACAGATCAAACCTGTTTTCACAAGTTCCGATGAACAAAGGAATCATCTCTTTATACTAAATGCTGGCAAACAGGGTCTTCGGTGGTTGCTGGGGCAAGGGCAGCGGGTAGGGCTCCTTGCTGGCTGCTGCCTTTGTGGTAAAGCCAGCGAGCGGCGCGCAACAAATATTATATTATAGCTGAGAAAAAGGTAGCCCGGTATGTACGAGTGGGAGGGCGTTTATTGGATGAATGTGGCGTGCGTTGCCTGCAAGGGGAGTGGGCGAGGCAGCCAACAGCATGCTTGCATTAACGTTACAATATATTTGTCAAATGGCAACCGAGAGCCAGTGCTGGAGATGACACTGACCCCTAATAAATGATAACATAATACTTGTATATTCGCTTGGTGCTTTGCAAAGGTTATAGGGGTATTAGTGTGTGGAGGGAGGCCTGGTGAGTGGCTGGCTGTGGATGGAGATGGCCAGAGTTGGACACAGAGAGCCACAGGTACACGCAGCGTCCATCATGGCGCCTCAACCAAAATTCTAGCGCCCTGTGGGCATGTTATACGGGCTTGCACTCTAGTAAATCTAGTAAATGGCCCGCCCCTTTTGGAGCTCCCCATTGGAACTCGCAGGACATGGTGGTCATGGATGATTTAATGTCAATTATTTTGATTCTAATTATAATCACACCAGATATAGTAAGCCGGGGCCGAGCCCTGGTAGCCCCCTTTTGCGCTGTAAATTATGATGAATACATGGTGCAAGGTAGCCGGCCTCTCATTCTCAAAGGCGCGGTAATACAGCACTGTACTACCTAACTACAACCGCCTACAACCACCTACAACCACCTACAACCCACCTACCAATCCTCCAGGACCTTCACCACCAAAGTTTTGCCAACAACCTCCGCCCGCAACCCATTCTGTGGCTCCAACCCCCAAGCGCATGTAGCGTCTTTTTTTTTCTTCCTCTTCCTACTCCTTGCCATTTTTTTTTTCTTTCCCCCGAACATCCCATCCTTCTCTCTGCTTTGCTTGCAACCCCTTCTTCTCCTCCTCCTCCCCCCCTCTTCCTCCGTCTCCCGCCTCGTCCTCCCTCATCACACACTCACGACCCGTCGATCCCGGTCGACTCGTGAAAGGAGAGAACCCTTCTCCTGTGCTTGCTTGTGCGGCAGAATACTGGCACTCGGCCGCCATCTCATCCACCACCACCACCCACCCCATCCCGTCTCCCGCCCCTCGGGAGCCCGACTACACCATCTCCCGCAACGGAAACCTTGTCTCCAAAAGACCCTAACCAAGTCCTAGCGTCCGTCGCCTCGCACACGTTCATCCACTGCACCCTGCGACCGTCGTTACTACGCCACCACACCAAACATACATTAATCGCCTTTCAGCCCGCCTGACTGACCTGAGTCGCCCATCACACGGACAGCCTCCGCTGCCAGCTTATTACGTCTACGGCCCGCCGCTCTACCACACCCCTGCGTTTGCCTGTTTCGTGGCTCACGCATCACCACTCGCTTTGGAGAGCCTCTGATACCCCGGCCCACGTCGACTCGAGTCCAGTCCATCATCGCCCACCCAGATATCTCCGTCAACCCGACCACAAGGACAAGTTTTTCGTCCGGCGACACTTGCTTTGCTGAATCTCGTCGCGCCCGTGATAATTCTGCAACTTTACGACGCTTCCAGCTTTCATTTCTCAACGAGCCTTCGAACGATACGAATTTTCATGACTTGCCTCCTGAACGATTATTCCACTCAATAATCGGAATCTCTTTCCGCCGACATCTCACCAAGTCACATTATTAGTGTCGTACTTTTTTTTGCTCTCAACTTACGGTGACACTGCCCTGTCCCGTCTAGAGCTGTCCACTTCCGGCTCTTTCCTGGTCATTGCGCACAATGGCTCAGCAACCTCACGACATGGGTTATCTCGATTATAACTCGGGCTCCAACCGCTCGCCAAGCACCTCCCGTCAACAATATGGCGGTGGTGCTCCCGGCTTTAATACCGGTCTATCGCTCCCCAGACAGGCCCAGCGCCCTTTTGATGGACACATGGGCTCTTCCGGCCTCTACCCTCCCGACAGGGGCAACGCCGGATACGGCGCCCGGGGGATGGATACCATCTCCGGTGGCGCTGTTCCTAGCTACATGCTAGATGGCAATCAGGGCTGGAATTACAGCGCTTCTGGTGCTGCCACAGTCAACGGTGCTGTGAATGGCCCCAACAGGAGCCGCAGCAGCAACCGTAGGGCTGCTTTGCCCCAGGTAAGCGCGAAACTGCCATGTGTCTGAAAGTACTGTTTCGCTAATTACCCATAGAACTGGACCGACCACCCTCCCATGCCCCCCATACCGTCCAATCTCCAAGCCTACGGCGGTGGAGGCCTCAACGGCTCTCACCTCTCCAACGGCAATCTCCGTGTCGACCACCCCGGCACACATCCATCTCCTGATATGCGTTCCACCGGCTCCGACCCCGACCAGCTTATTCCAACCGCTATTGTCATCAAGAATATCCCTTTCGCTGTCCGCAAGGAGACTTTGGCTTCCATCATGCTCGATTTGCACCTACCCCAACCCTACGCCTTCAACTACCACTTCGATAATGGCGTCTTTCGCGGCCTTGCCTTTGCCAACTTCCAGTCCGCCGAAGACACCAGACTCGTCATTGAGACCATGAACGGCATGGACGTCCAGACTCGGAAGCTTCGTGTCGAGTACAAGAAGATGCTCCCCGAGGCCGAGCGCGAGCGTATTGAGCGTGAGAAGCGCGAGCGACGTGGCCAGTTGGAAGAGCAGCACCGGGGCCCTATGCTTCACCAGCAGAGCTCCATCCAGTCTCTTGGTGCCATGTCCCAGTCTCAGCAGCGTGGCAATCCTGCTGGCTATCTAGGTATGTCTGAAGTGCGCTGCCTGCCAACAATCATATCACCTAACCCCTTTTACTAGGTGACGTCGACTTGAACGACCCGCAAACGCTAGATTTCTATACCGAGCTAGTCATGTTCCGTCGTGATGACTCCCGCGAAATTCTCGTCTTCCCACCAGGCATCGCTCCTGAGCACCGTCGCTCGATCCACATTCTTGCCCATCACATGGGCCTCGAGCACCAGTCAATCGGTGAAGCCGACTCTCGCCAGCTTACTGTACTCAAGCGCCAGCAGCCCTCCCCGACCGCCAACGTCCACAGTGCCCCTGCCAACAGCCTTGATGTCCATAAGCGTGGTTTAAGCAGGGCCGCCACCTTTGACTTCGCTGCCGACCGAGAGTCTCGTGGTGTGAGCAACAACAACTCACACATTACCGGCCGCCAGGGCCCCACACTCGAGCTTCCCGGAAGCCCCGATGGCGTTGGCATCCCCAACAGCCTGCGCGCCGCCAAGAGTTTTGCCGACCTGCGTTCCTTCACTCCTAGTCCGTCTCAGGCATCGTCAAGCTATCTCACCCCTAACCCTGGCATGGGTAGCATCGGCCCTGGCTCAACTGCCCGCTTCGGTGATTACATGAGCGCACAACAAGCCCACCCTGGCAACCCCTCCACTCCCGGCACCAAGAATGACCATGGCCTGGCTAGCGCACTTGGTGGCCTCAACCTGGGCTCTTACGAGTCCAACACCATCTCCGGCCAAAACCGCAATGCCCCTGGTGCTATTGGCAGCCAGCGACCCAGCGGCGTGAGCAACGGACCCAAGGGTGCTCCCGATCGCCAGCCCCGCGGCCCTGAGTGGGAGCCTTCTGCCGGGTTCGGTGGCCGTGGTCGATCCAACGGACACATACAGCGAAGCAGCGGTAGGTTGTCCGCAAAAACACCAGCAAACAAATTCGACTAACTTGTCGTGCCAGACTCGTCTGATAACGGAGCTCGCATTGGCGCCGGACCGACTAGTGCGGCCCGGTTCTAAGCTTGAGCTTCAATGGCCACTTGTCCTGATCTTGGGCGCCGTGGCCTTTGTCTAGCTAGGGGGCGTGGTGCTACTTTGGCACGGCGCGACCCTAGTTTGTATTATGAATGAATCACTCCTATGTTGCCATAGCGGCGGCAGCATGAACCCTCTATTTTATGATATGGATGCCGAGAGTGATGAACTGAAACTCTTGGTGGCCAGTTATGACGATGCATATCTGCGGAACGAGAGCATTGGACGGAGGCTCGAAGATGCAATATTAATTCAACCCCTTGACAGCCTTTTACGACAAGTCGACATCCTTTCCCCAGCCAGGCAAGCGATGAAAGAGTCATCTTTGCCTACTGACGGTCGCGGGTTTCGGCTATACGTTGACGATGATGATGTGTTATTTATTTTACGATTTGACGTCTAGACAACTGCGTCTGTTTGCGTGTCGGGCTATGGCTTGCACTGACGACATGGCGAGGCTGCTTCAGCAATGAGCAAGACAACTGTCAGAAGAGAAGACGACAACGCAGAATGACCCCCCCCCTCAAAAAAATCTATACCCATTTAATACCCGATCAAACGAGCAGATACGACTATGACGACAACGAATTACTGTCCAGCGCATGCACATTGACGCATAGCAGCTGATGATGGGAGGAAGGGTAGTCAGAGTGAAAGCATGCCCACCACCGAGAGGTATGGCACGGGCTTGTGAAGGAGCTGACGAGGTTGAATATCTTTATCGCTTTGAAATTTTGTTCACTGTTCTGTTTCTCTACTGCTACTCGTTTTTTGTTACTCGTTTTCTTTTCTTGGATTTTTCTTGTTTTCTTTTTTGATCTGTGGACACTTGCAATGGGTGTTCCTTGACCCGACGTTTTTGTAATCGGCCAGCATAGTACTACTCTGGCAGGGGCGGAAAAAAACCTACTATAGACAGGGAGCAAAGGGACGAGTGGCCTGGGGCTACTTGAGCCTTTTGTGAGGAGCTTTTATTCAGGGCGGGGGGCTGTTGGAAATCAAGGCATTTTCTTGGAATGGTGGTTTGTGAAAGACGGATTTGATTTGCGACGGGACGACGGAATCGAAGCTGAATTGTGGCAATGCTTTGCTTCCTTCCTGGGGAGGGATGCTGAAGCATAGTTTCAAAATGAAGACGTATGTTGTATGAAATTGGGTGTCTGTCCTACTGTGACTGTGCCGGCTTGTAATTGTTGTGCTTGTATTAAGTGCGCCATGCTGTGACTCGAGCCTCTGAGAAGTTTGTTGCGAATTCGCATCACGAGTGAAGCTCAGGCACTGATTCACTGATTATCAAGAGCACTAGGGGGACGGAGACGAAAGAAACGACCGGTTAGTACTATACTATCCAATGCCAGGTTCTCTTTTTTTTCCCCATTATTATTCTACTATTCTATAATTATAATTATAATTGTTCTCTTTCGTTTTCATTACTCGCATGCCCCAGTAAAACAAACGTCATCGCTGTCACAGGTCTAACCGCCCAACACCTCTTTGGGTTAACAACTCCACCCTGACCGTTGACATTGAACTCTCTTTGCCTCTGGTGCATCAATCCAACTCTATATCAACGCAATTTGATACAATGACAATACCAAAACCAACAGAGGACAGGGCTGCGGCACCCCATCCGGATTCCATTCGCAGAAATTGGGTGCACGTCGCCGCACCCAAGAACAAGCAGTGGACGACAGCCATGGACGGCGTCGGCAAGCTGACGCTCGTCGAGGCCGCGCTGCCGACACCCCAAGAAGGCGAGGTGCTAGTCAAGATGTCGGCTGTGAGCCTCAACTACCGCGACGTCCAAGGTATTTTTTTTCCTTTTTTTTAATATATATATATATATCTATATATTCGTCTTTGCGTCCTTGAAGAGAAAGCCACGGTGCTAACAACACTACGCAAGTCTGCGAGGGCGTCTTCAACCAGTACAACAGCGCCCACGCCGGCGGCAGCCCAGCCCTCGTGCCGTGCTCCGACATGTGCGGCACCGTCGTCGACGCCTCGCGGGACCGCACACGGCGCTTCGCCCCCGGCAGCCGGGTGCTGGCCATCCACCTGCAGAGCCACCTG